TTGGGCGCTCATACATGAGTTACTGGACTACTCGAAAATACTGCTAGTTGGCAATTTTTATGTTATGTTCCTCACAATCACTTTGTTCATCAATTAGAAAATACCTCCCTTTCATGCATTTGTGAATTTTTTTTTTTCAGTTATGTGCCATGATACACAGTAAGAAATTGACTTCATTTGTATTTTAGCTGCTCTTTGGAACTCAATTTGGAGTTAGGAAAGGCCTACACTGTGGATTGTCTAAGGAACCATGGACATTTCGTGACCAACCCAGACGTCTTAGCCTTAGGAGATGGTGGCTGTGAAGAATACAGTTGAACAATGGACATGTGAGCCATTCCAGCTGTGTGGTCTTAGCCAAACTCTGAGTTAAGTTGTAAGGCCTGAACTCAAGTTACCCAGGCTGCAAGGCCTAACCTTAGGTTACTAAAGGACAGCTACATGCAGTAGAACAAGGAACTTGTCATTTGCTCAAGGCTATCAAGATGTAGAAGCGGGACAGGAAAACTGTAAGATGTGTACAATAAGTAACGAACAAATTTTCAGCTAGCCTGTTATCTGCTTTGTTGCTTCAAAATGTGTGAACAGCACTTTTGGGCCAATCAGGATCTATATTGGTTACATCAGCTAATTCTGTAAACTATAAAAGCTGTTGATGTGGGTGAATAAATTTGGCAATTGCTTGATCACATTGATCTTCTCTCCATTGTCCGTGACTCCCGCGTCACTACACCTGATCAGCCATCCAGGGCATTAATAAAGTATTGCATTTAAAATAATTGGTGATTAGAATGGTGACAGATTTACTGCACCAAAACTTCTGCCAGACAGAAATGAGGAGTAAGAGAGCAGAAACAGTCCAGATAGCCAAGGCTCCCCCTTAAAATAGCCTTCCTACCCATAGAGGAGGGCCTGTTGAGGGGGTTTTAGTTGATAATTGCACAATGCTGATCCTGATCTGTTTTAGTTGCTTATCCTACCAAACTCTTCCTCGTAGCAGAAGTGAAAATGAAGAAGCCAAGCGGCTCATCTCAATTCAAAGTAGATAAATCCAACTGAAACATCATCATAAGAGCCAAGTAATCCTTGAGTGGGTTACTGCAAGTCCCAAGTGCAATATCCTGATAGACATTAGATTTAAGGAAAACAAAGGAAAAGAAGACACAGCCTTTTTCTTAAATAACTACAGCAGATGTCCACCTGATGTATGGAGATTGTCCAGAAATATAAAAGCAAGTGCAGCCTCATTAATAGTACAGCTAACTTATTCTACAAGTAGCATAGACTTCAGAGAAACGGCAATCAATACAGCTGTACTATTTTCTTCAGCCTGGAAGCACACCATTACCTCAGAGGAACGTCACAATCCACACAGAGACAGGATTTTGGGAGGCAGGGAAAGCTCCTTCCAACTCTGTGTAGTGTGCTTATCCTCTGTATCACCTTTCCCCATGCACACCCACCCTAGAAAGGGATGAAACCCTTGAAAGGGACGTGGGGAAGAGGGTACGCAAGAGTGGCTGGCAAGGAAGGATTATTTTACCTAACTTTTTTCTAAGGGGTGGGTGTGGATCCCTGAACAAGCCCTGCCTCCTTATTCCTGTCTATGTCACTTTGTTGGCCTCAATGAAAGTTCTAAACATCACTGCATGTCTGGGCATTTACTGTGACCAGACAAATGACACCACTAGTTTCAGGATCTTGATAGAGCACATATGGAATGAAATTTGGTGCTGGGAGATGTCTGGTTATAAACAGGATATGATCCACCTGAGATTTAAGGTTAACATCTGATACACCCATGGGAATGGGGGGGTTTCAAGAGTAGGGCAGATCTGGAGAGGGGACTTCCCTCAAAGACAAAGGCACTTCTGAAAGTGCCATTCCTTCTTGAGCTAAAGGTTTGCTACCAAGTATTTAGCATCATGGAAGATATTCTGAATATCATCATTTGTTTATTTAAGTGTCTGTCTTATTATCTGCTTTTACTGAAAATAATAAAGTTATCAAAAAAGTCTGTCATAGATTTATTGTAAGAAGAAAACTCAGTCTAGATATTAATGATTTTTGATCAGCCCAGCTGTCAAACTGAGAAAATATATGTAATACCTTTGCAGCATAACTGACAGAAACTGTGCCAGGCCATAGTAACACAGTAGTATGGATCTGCAGCTGATTAATTTAGTTTTAGCAGTAACTTAATTTGAAACCTGTAAATTTGGCCTACAAAACTTTTTGATCACTAGGACTCTGGAGTAGTTTGAGAATGTGACACATCAGCCCAGGATTACATAGGATATGGGATGCTGAAATAAATTTGGACAAATAGAGGATTAAGTTTGCAAATGAAAATGTAACTGTATTTTAATATATTGTGCTTAATAAACTTTATTAAAATTTAATATATAAGTCACATGCGTAAAAATGTCTTAACAATGGTTACTTGTGAAGATAACAGGCTTCTCCTAAGAAGCCTGGTCTAGTACTCCCTAACATTGACTAAAAATCTACACCTGTGAAAAAATCAGCTGCAAAGTGCTGCTTTTCTTATTTTCTAGCTTTTAACACCCAGACCGTATATGATGCACACAAGGTCAAGTAGAATCAAGTACAGAAACCACATAGTCTGATACTGGAATTCTGGGCAAGTCTAAGTTTGAATGTTAACAGCAGAAAAATAGATTAATGATGATCTGTCAGAGGTCTGCCTATAAAGCCCATTGAACTTCAAATACCAAAAAATACTTTTATCATCCATACCTGACTAGAAGCCTTATTTCATGGCTCCAAAAACTTGAAGCAGACTTGGAAATGTCACAGTTACTGGAACAAGTACATAGGTAATATATTTTTTTAAAGGTGTAAGCTAGTAAGCTACTACTAAAATATATTAGAGATGAAACAGGATCTGTCCACATACAATTTAACTCTTCATGACTTGAATGAAGTCAGATTAAACTCCAAATTCTGGAAAATACTTTTTCTGCTTTTGTCCATAGACCTCTTTCTTCATCAGTTCTTTCAAGTTGGGTACTGCTTCTTCCCAGAAAACACATATTTTAAATACATTATGAGTTCCACAGTGTTCGGCTTTTTAAATATGATGGTAAGAAACACGAGTTTTCAACTGTATTATGAGAACAATCAGTAAGTTAAACTAGTTTCTGTAAGCAATAATTTCTTGTGATTTTGGAAATGGTATTTTGGGCTACGTAGTCAGTTATGCTGCCATTTTTTTCCTTAATGACAGGAAATAATCCTGTGGGAATTGCCAGTAGAGCAGAAGATCAAGAAAGGAGAGAATATAAATATGAAGGCATTTTCACTTTGTGACAATTAATTATGGTGCCCATGAATAAAGATCTGAATAGTGTTGTTAGTACAATGCAATAAGAGCTCTCTTGTGGCAAAAAATTATCATTACATTGCATCTCATTGTTTTACAGGCAATAAGGGGGTTTTCACCTGCTCATTTCTTTTCCCACTTCTCCTGAAAATATAAACAAACTGTGTTTATAAGAATATGCTTTTTAACTGTGGAGTTTTTTCCTGTTAAGAATTTTAACTTAATAGACTCTACACTTCTAAACTTCTGTTCACTTCAGTTCACTATTCTATTCACTTCTTCACTTGGTTCCTATAAGAGCACTGATTTCTTCCGAAGGCCTGCCTCAAAGCATCAGTTCTGAAATTTCTTATTCATCTTATTAGGTGTTCCTAATGGCCTTATTTTATATTTCACTAGTTGATACTAATAGCATTTTTTAATTATTTTTAGTGAAATGACATACTACACAGTGTAAAACAAGCTGTTTAAGAGTATGCACAAAAATGTATGACAAATCTCTACTGATTCCTTTCTGACAGAAGCTGACACTCCAGTTTTTCTGCTGACAATGTTTAAAATGCAGGCAGGATGTCAATACAAAATTGTATGTGCAGTGGGAAACAAGTATACTTAATAATGCAATACAATACAATGCAATACAGTAAGTATTGGCCCAGCATGCTAGTCATGAACACATGTATCTCTACATCAGCAACTTAGTTGAGAGGTAGTCTGTCTGACAGAAGCATCTCACTTATTCCTTTATTTTACATCCCTGATGCAGTTGTCCTCACAAAGTAATTCCCTACATACCCTAGATAGTGACTAGATAACCTACTTTTGCAAATATCAGAGCAGGATCCTGCCCACCTAGTTAACGGGCTTAAAATTGCAAATGATGTCTTCTTTCAAAGCCTCAGAGACATGTGCATTGTTAGTAGTTAAGTCAAGAACGGTGAAAACTAAGAACCACTTTTAAGAATATTAATACATATTAAGATTTAATGTATCACAAACATTTTTCATCTAGGTTTTGTAAAATTCTCTGATTTATGCTCCATGCAAAGAACATGATTCATGATATCACTATCAGACATCGGAAAAGCGGAGACCACAGTCCAAATTTGTCAGTCTGTCCCAACCTCTTGCTCCTTCAGGTCATTTGGAGCTGGCCAACACCTAGTTTCTGACACAGAGTGTCCCTGGTCAGCCTCTTTGCATCCTTATGAAGGGAGAAGACATAAATCAGACAGCTCAAGTGGACGTTTTCTCCACTTGGCCAACCCATCCGTCAGAACTTGGTTTTAGGAAATGCTGTAAGATTTCTTTCTGTCTGCACTTTGAGGAAAGGAATGGGAAGGGTGCTCTCAGCACTTAATACATTATTATGGGGAAGTGAGCTTAAAATTCCACTCATTTCATAACAATCTGTCAGCCTTCTCTGTGGTGGCCGATGAGGAACTTCAGTCCTTACTAAGAACCTCCACCATGGCTCTCTGAGTATACACTGCTCCCTTGTCTCCCCACTATGTATATAGTTAGTTCTGAGAATAAATATTTTTAACGCAGAAAGTGTGTTTTAACACAGTGTGAAAAATAGCATTATTACAGAAGGTCAAACAAAGAATGAGACTGAAAGAGAACTTCCAGGAATGAATGCGAGTTGCTGCACCTTAGACTGAAGTATGCAGACTGTCCTTCAATTAGCAGCACCATTCCCAGCAAAGTCAATGAACTACTGAAATGAAAATAAAGATCTGCCTATTGATAACATAATTTAAACATGGGAATAGAAGGCAGTTTGTTTTCAAAGTATCTTAACGTATGTTTGTGACTTCCCACTGACATTTCAATGAAACTTAACATGACATTTAATTACTGTTGATTTGGTTTTCTGTATACAATCAATGGCATATTTCTTGGAACATGTTTGTCTCATAAAATGTAATTCATGCTTGGAGTATTAATATGGCAGAAAGGAAACTGTCACCAAAGATAAGAACCCAGAACATCACTTATTCATCTAATAGCAGACTTCCAGTATCTGAAGGGGGCCTACAAGGATGCTGGGGAGGGACTCTTCATTAGAGACTGCAGGGATAGGACAAAAAGTAACAGGTTAAAACTTAAACAGGGGAAGTTTAGATTGGATATAAGGAAGTTCTTTACTGTAACGGTGGTGAGGTACTGAAACAGGCTGCCCAAAGAAGTTGTGAATGCTCCATCCCTGGCAGTGTTCAAGACCAGGTTGGACAGAGCCTTGGGTGACATGGTTTAGTGTGAGGTGTCCCAGCTCATGGTAGGGGGTTGGAACTAGATGATCTTAAGGTCCTTTCCAACCCTAATGATTCTATGATTCTGTGTTTTGTTCTGATAGAGAATACATGCAAAGCAACCAAAAATGCATTACGATTTCTATAAACCAGTTGACCTGACAGATTATTAAAAAAAAAAGAAAAACAAAAGACGGAAAAAAAATTGTGCAGAAGGAAATCCTGAGTTTCTCCTAGCTGAAATATTTCAGTATCAGTTTAAAATGAGCTAAGTTAGTTGTGGGAAAGAGCAGGCTCTTGTTAGGAATGTTCATGTCACTCATACAAAAAAGGATTAGCTTGCAATCATAGCACTTTAAAAAAAAAAAAAAAAATCACGATCTTTAACTTAAAAAAGAAAAAAAGGAAAGAAAGGCCATTTAAAAACAAAGGTTCATTTTTACTGAAACTTAATGCTGATACTTGAAGGGGTCATGCAGTATTCACGAAGTTGTTGGGTTTAATAAAACCTGAAATGCTGACAAATCTGCATGACTTTGTCATGCATCTGGATAATCCAGATCATTTGACAAAGGATCTGGAGTTTTCAGTTATATTATCCGTCATAAGATGAAAAACACAGGAACTGGCAACAAACCTACTAAAATAGACTGAATTTTATTAGGTACTGGATGTTACATTGAAAAAGAATCACTTTTTTTTTTTCCTGTGTGTATTTCCTACAGTCTCACAGAGAAAATGATAATTTTGAAAATGTTTCTTTTACATGGAAAACTATAAAACTCTAATACAGGAACATTACAGTTTAAATATCAACACTAGAAAAAAGCACACATTCACAGCTGCTTTCTTGAATGTATGTAAATATGTATTTATTTGAAGATGCAGCTCTCTATCCTGAAATGATAATACCTATTCCTCAAAGTGATATTGCGAATGATACTGGGAGCCAACACTCGTGTAAAATAAGCAGTAGTAGGTTTTGCATATATTACAAGTCTATTGTAATATATGCAGATATTGCATATAACGATTTTTTAAATATTTAAGTACTTAAGCTTAAGATGTGCATTTTAGTACATTTATTGCAACTCAAAATTATTATTTAGCTGTAATTTTGTAGGCACATGGAAACATGATTAGCTCTCTGATGAACATGTTGACATATCACACAAGTAATTTATTGTATTCAATTAAAGCCCATGATAAATTTCTTCATTTCTTGAAGGTGTTGAATTCAAGTACTATGTTGGCTGACTTCAGACTTTTTATTGTTTGAGAAGTCTCTTGTGTACTTCCTTACTGCATTTGCTACACTAAATTGTTCTCTCAAAAGCAACAAAAAAATCCCCACTTGTAGTCTCTGGGACACCTGCATTTTGACCTGGTTAATTTTTTTACAGCACAAGAATGCGTCAGTTCAAAATGGTTTCATATTATTAACTAAAGATCCATTTTGTACATAGGAGGTTGTCATAAATTTGTGTATGCTCCTAGTCTGAACCCCTGAAAGCCTGAGTAGTCTTTTCTCTGAGATGTGGCTGGAGTAAAAAGAATTCATAGGCTTTAGTGGTCTTTAAGAGATGAGAAAGAGCATCACCCATTATGATAGCCTTAATATCTAAACAGTTATGATGGCTTTTTTTTTTTTCCTGTTGCCCTCCAGGTCTGTAACTGGGTATGTGCATCACCACCTCTGATTGCTCTGTTTCCCTTTAGGATCCTCTTTCTCACCCAAGAGTACAATAAATCTCTCTTTTCATAATGGTAATGATGCCTAAAGGAGTGTTTGATGTCCACATATAGAACGAATGCTTATACAATCCTGGATGCCCTCGGTACTTATGACTCACAAGGACAGCCTTATTAGAGTCCACTGGCAACAAAGTTTGTTGGCACCAGAGAAAAAAGAGCAATGACATACGTCACAAAATAGGATGAAAACAGAAAAAGCAGATGGACAGTAAGAGAAAGTGAAATAAAGTCAGTGATGGGTGGATAACCAGGAGGCAACGAATATTGCATACATTAGCCACCAAGCTCTTATTCTTTATTCTTTAACACTCTTCTTCACTTGATTGTCTGAGTCACAGTTTCCACTTCAACAAGTCATAAGGTAACGTAACTTAATACAATGCATAACATAACACAACATAACATAACAACATACCTCTCAGCATGCTTATAAGCTGCTCTCCAGTTTTATAAACCACAAGGAATGTTCTTGGCTCATTTGTCCTCCCCATACTATGCTGCTCAAGGGTTGTTGCCTTTATGCAGAAGTACACACATTATTCTACAGCAGTAGCCTACAGGACTTCAATGCGCATTACAGTACCCTTAGTTCTCTGGACTTTATTAATCTCTGTTTATACACAACTTCTTGAAAAAAATATATAATATCATTATTATGCAGTAGTATAAAAGCAGTGTTGTCATGGCTACATAAGTTACAAGTCAGCATTCCCCCTCTGCAAATTTATGATCATGGTTCAGAGAAATAGTCTTTATTGCACCTGCAATATATAATACTGTTGCGGTGCCTTTGTCACTGATTTATCTCTTAGTGAAACTCTTCCTTAGTTGTGCCCTCCTTTCACTCCTACATAAAGAAACTGTTGGCTCACACTGATGCTCTCATAAAAGGAAGTAATCTATAACTGCCTCAGCCAGCTCGATTTAATCAATTAGAATAGAAGCAATTATATCAATTACAACAGCAGTATGTTTAAACACAGCCAAAGCTGGAGGTAAATACTTATCCAATGAACGAGCCGATTCTGCAAAACTTGTTTGATGTCTAAAATGACGTTTAAGTAGAATCTATAAACCAAATTAATAAAAAAAAAACCAATATACTGACTCCCAAGTTCTGGTGGCCACAACATACTAGAGGTACCTACAGTCATTTGGCATCTCTATTCATGGCATAAGAGCTTCTTCAGTGCAATGTTCCACCTTCCATAAAATTTCTCTGTGTACAGTACTGTGGCCAGAGGAATATTAAAAGCAGTTTCACCAAGTCTCTAAAGCATTATGCTGCACATGAAGTACAGCAACCACAGTCACATATGTCCAAAACCACAGCTGGAACAGGCAACCCTGCCCACCCTTAACATTCATCCATTTTCTAATGACAATGATATTAAATGATACATCTGTTCAGTGTTATCACTCTCTCTCAGCTTTACTTAGTGTCCTAACCACAAGTTAGCAGAAACACCCAGAAACTGAATCACATCTTCAAACATTTGCAGCTAAAGTGCTCTGTCCAGCCTGTTATTCCTGGAGGACACATCGAGGGGATTTCATGAAGTTACACAATTTAAAAGCAAAAGTCCAGGAGATTTTTAAGATATATTAGAAACTGATGGCTGACTGTGTCTCCACATGCAGGGACTTATGATACAGATTGGAAATCATACTGAATCAGGACATAGATCAAAAGTGGAATAAAGGACTCTGTCCAGGGAGGCAAGCAAAATGCTTCAGAGGCAGAGCATCTAATGAAAGGTAGTAATAGCTTCAGTGCACCATGACAGTACTTCATTTTCCTAAGTAAGAAGGGCTTTTATAAAGATCTAGTGACAGAAAATAAATCTGGTTCCTTTGATCATTATTTAATTCCCATCAAATTATTTAAATTTAAAAATAAATTTTAAAAATAGTAATCAGTATGTTTGATTTGAAAAAGGAAATTAGAGAAAAAAGGTTCCTCAGTAAAACTAAAAGAACTAAAGAACAGAGGAACCTGCATGCAGAAATTGCCTTAAATTTCTAAAATTAACATTTAAAACCCTTGTGGGAATTGCATTCCATCTGAGAGGAGAATTAGGTTAACATAGCAGTGAGGATGCATCTGAAAACAGAATTAATATAGATGTTGTTGGAAGGATGTCTCATTAAACGACACAACACTGATACTCAGTATGCTACAATGAAAACAAATATATCTTAACAATCCTTCTGTATTTCATCCATTTCAGGAATTACTTGTTTACAGTGACTTATATAAAATATTTAATTTCTCAGTTTCATTGTTGGAAGACATTTTGTAGACAGAGAATGAAGCAGTTGTCACTTCAAGATTATATTTCCCAGACAGGAATTTAAAACATAATGCATTTATGATAAAAAGTACTTTAGATCTTGAAAACTTTTATTTTCTTTATGCCTTATTTAAGTTATGAGTTTGTGGTTTAATATTTTAGAAGTTAGAAATTTTTACTATAACATAAAAATATTTGTATTCTAAAAATGTACTTTGCAAGTAACCATTCCATAGTTCGGATGTGGTAATTCTGACAGGCTATTATACACTAAACATTCCATCTTCAAAAGACAAGATCTGAAACAGTGTTATCACTAAAGAAATGAGCAAGTGTATATACTCTACTTTTTACAATACTGCAAAATGAATACTATATTCAAAGATAGTTTCAAAATATCTAATGTTAAGCTAATTTTTA